AGAAAATAAGAGTCGAAATGAAGCGTCGTTTGTCACACAAACGACATGCAGTCTCGCTGAAGATAATAAGCCTGGCAGCGTGGTTCACAGGTGCCATATATGATATATATATATATATATATATATATATATATATATATATATATATATATATATATATATATATATATATATATATATATATATATATATATATATATATATATATATATATATATATATATACATATACATATATATATGTGTATATATATATATATATATATATATATATATATATATATATATATATATATATATATATATATATATATATATATATATATATATATATATATATATATATATATATATATATATATATATCATGTAACGCGCTTAATTGCCACGTCATTTAATCATGGGAGGCATGATTTTACACAAGCTTCAGATACTGGTCACGCGTGCAAGAGCACTCCCATACTGTTATTCAAAGTGCAATGTAGAAGGGAACTTGTCTTCAGTATTCAGGAACAACATTAAAAAATAACAAGCTGTGTGTGGACTAGAGGTTTTTGTAAAGAAATATAAAACACAGTGAAATCATGATCATTTAGAATCAATAATTTCTAAAATTCTGTTTATCTGAAACACTTTCTTGACTATAAGTGAATTCCCACTACGATTATAAAACTCAATGTTTATCTGATCTTCTTGCCAGCTAACAAAGGTGGAATACAGTTGCTTAGTGTAAATAATGGCTGATTAATTGCACATAACAAGAATATGATTTACCTACCTCTCTGAATATCCAAAAAAATAAAGCTCACATGTCACTATTTTTGTTTGACCCTTTCAAAATGAGAGAGACAAGTGAAGGTGTATTGAGGTACACTGAAAATTGAAATAAGTGTAAGAAAAGAAATCAAGAATGTCAGATCAAATGTCAATGCCAATTTTGTTCAGCTTCAAGAGAGCATTCAAGACAAAGAAGAATAGAGGAGCTCCATTCTTTGTTTTTTAACTGCCTCCATTTCTGTCTAATAACAGCCTACTCTTCAAATGGCCTCATCTTGACAGCCCATCTTAAATCAATTTCTATTTGGCCCTATATTAGCTTTCTGTAGATAATAAAGTCTGTTATCGAGCTCAGCAAAGGGCTTTCTCTTCCCATCAATGAACCACAAGAAGGTGAGGCATGAGAAGGAGAGGCATTTAATCAAGATGGGCTCCAGCTTAATGGGAGATATTAAATGTTGCATCTTCTTGAAGACTGAAATTAAAACTACAATTCACTTTGTTGGGATTCTTTTGTTTAAATTGGTCTTTGATATGTTTTTGTCTCCTAGAACCTGAACCATTACTTAATAAATTAAAACATATATGCTGTACATACATTTTGGTGGCATTTTAAGCTCAGACAACAGTCTGATTCAGCGCCTACCCTGCGAACACTAGGTGCAAAGCAGGAATACACCCTGCAACCAGAACATCATAGGGCACCATGCAAAGACATTCACACCTAGAGGCAATTTAAAATAGCTAATCCACCTAGTGGCATGTTTTTGGTAGGTGGGAAGGTGGAGAAAATTAAAAGGCTGCACACAAGTCCAGAGAGAGAACTTGCACAAATATTAACCTGAGCTCAGGATTGAATGAGTGGACTCTGGAATTTTGCTGCAATCTCAAGATAACAGCTCTGAGTCTTCTCCTATAATGCCTTATGAAGTTGGAGAATACATGGCAAGGGATCTGAGACCATTCCTCCATACAGAATCTCTCCAGATCCTTCAAATTTTGAGGTTCAGGCTGGTGGACTCTCCTATTCAGTTCACCCCACAGGTTTTCTATGGATTTCAAGTCAGGGGACTGGAATGGCCATGGCAGGACCTTGATTTTGTGGTCAGTAAACCATATTTGTGTTGATTTTGATGTATGTTTTGGATCATTGTATTGCTGGAAGATCCAACCACGAGCCATTTTAAGCTTTCTGGCAGAAGCAGTCAGGTTTTCATTTAACATCTGTTGATATTTGATACAGTCCATGTATCCTAACAAAATGTCCACCTCCTCTGGAAGAAAAACCGCTCCAAAACATTTAAGAGCCACCACCATATTTAACTGTAGGCATGAGGTACTTATCCATATATCTACCTCTCTGTGTGCACCAAAACCACCTCTTGTGTTTATTACCAAAAGGCTCAATTTTGGTTTCATCTGACCATAGAACCTGATCAGATTTGAAGTTCCAGTATGTCTGGCAAACTGAAGATGCTTGAGTTTGTTTTTGAATGAGAGTAGAGGCTTTTTTTCTCAAAACCCTTCCAAACAACTTGTGGTGATGTAGGGTCTGCAATATAACAACTTAAGTCTTCACAGTGCAGTGAGACAATATAGACACACGTCAAATTCCAGTTTGATTTATTTTTTTCATGCTTCATTTTTATTGAACATTTCTGCTGAACATTTCTACAGAACATTTCTACAATTTTTGCTAAACCAGTTCTGCTAAACATTTCTGCTATACATTTCTGCATAACGTTTCTTTTTTATTAAACATTTCTGATGAACATTTCTGTTGAACCAGTTTGATTTATAACCTTTCCAGTTGACTGTAACTTCTTTAATTATTGCCCTAATGGTGGAATTGGGCAGTTTCAATGCTTGTGCTATTTTCTTACAGCCACTTCCCATTTTGTGAAGCTCAATAACCTTTTGCTGCAAACCTTTCTTTGCTCATATTTACCAAGGGTGCCAATATTAGTGGAGGGCACTGTATTTAGTGATGAATCATGAATTTGCATTGGCTCCATGCTGGAAGTTTTGTTTGGTGCCATTCTAATGAAACATATAAAGATGACTGCAGAAGAAAACAATCAAATTTCCATTCGATTTATGATATGGGGTTGATATGGCATGATAGGTAAAGGATCAGGGGAGACCTCAACAGTCAATGCGCAGGTGTACATTGAAATTTTGGACACTTTTCTCATACTATCAATAGAAAATAGGTTTTCTGATGATGAAGTAATTTTTTCAGTATGATAATGCATCTTGAGAACAAAACGTGTTAAAGCTTTTCTTCATGAAAGGAAGATCAACTCAATGACATGGCCAGCAAACAGTACAGATCTCAATCCAGTAAAAGATTTATGGTGAAAATTGAAAAAATAAAAAAGGTCCCACTGCGATGGACTAGCACCCTGTCCATGGTGTACCCTGACTTGTGCCCTATGGCTCCTGGGATAGGCTCCAGGTTCCCTGCGACCCTGAAAAGGAGTAAGCAGTAGAAGATGGATGGATGGATGCAAAAATGTCTCAAGAATCTATCCTGCATAAGCTGATATGTCAACTCCAATTCCAGAAAGTTGGAACCAGCTGGTGGAGAATATTTTTTTTCTTTAGTGATGTCCATGCCTCAAAGAATTCAGGCCATCATAAAAGCCAGATGAGAAGCAGCAATGTAGTATTTGTGATTTTTGTTGTTGTTGTTGTTGTTGATGATGATGATGATGATGATGATGATGATGATGATGATTCCATAATTTTTTCCTCAACATTGAGTGATTCCATATTTTTTTCTCTATTGATTTGAAAAAAATATGCCATTAATTGAAATAATTTAATTGAATTTGTTACATGGTGCCACAATGTTCAGCTATTAAATAAAACATTTTTGTGTCAAATCTGTGATTTGTTTATTTGCTATGAAAGAAAAAAAAGGCCTGATGAACTTATTCTAAATGTGGTGATTCCATAATTTTTGCCAGGGGTAGCAGTGTTTACTTCTGTGATTTTTCTGTCAGAGGACTTTGGTAGTTATAGTGCAACATAATGGCTACATGTATATGCATAGTAATCAGAATTTGGCAATATTTTAATTAGTACTGAGTCATGTAAACCTCACAATCCGATTAAGATAATTCAAATAAAGACAGTATTCTGATTCCCCAAATTCTGATTCCCACACATGGAATATTCCTTTTTTAATTGGAACTGTGTTTCATGTAAACACCTTATTCAGAATGTACACTGAAAGGAGATGCATGCGCATACTCAGTCCGCAAGGAACTGTGGGTGCTAACAGATGCTTAACTGTAGGCTCTGTATTTAGGAATGGCAATTCCGGCATATGTATAACAACAATATATACAGGAATATTCTGATGCCTGTATGCATATAAACATTGTATTCAGAATATAGTTGCAACCTGAATATAGACCTTACACGGACTTTGATGGGCATGTAAATGTAGACATTGATAAAGCATACAGTACATGTTTACTAGTTTATTTAAACAGGTTGGGCAATGACTGCTTTCTAATTTATAACTGACATCTGGCAGCTCTGGGGTGACCTTGTGGTCATGAAAAAGAATATTAAAAAGGGGCAGGAAGGTGAAATATTTTAAAGAAATGGAAACAAACACATTTGTATCTTGCATAAGATTAGATAAGAAAGATGTACCTTTATTGTTCCCCCATAGGGGACATTCAAAACACAGATACTAGCCCAGGCTCTTGTTATCTCAAAACTGGACTACTGCAACTCACTTCTTTCGGGCCTCCCAGCCAACTCCATCAAACCCCTTCAGATCATTCAGAACACTGCAGTGCACCTCGTCTTTAACCAGCCCAAGAGAACCCATGTCACACCCCTCATCATCTCCCTCCGCTGGCTTCCTGTAGCTGCCCACATCAAATTCAAGGCCTTGATGCTCACCTACAAGACCTTGTCTGGAACAGCGCCCTCCTACCTCAACTCTCTCCTGAAGGCTTACGTTCTCTCTTGCAATCTACAATCAATTTGCAACAGATGTTTAGTAGTTCCCACTCAACGTGGCGCAATGTCCCTTTCCAGAACCTTCACACTAACTGTTCCTCAGTGGTGGAACTTCCAACCTCAATCCGGACCGCAGAATCTCTCATTATCTTCAAAAAACAGCTAAAGACCCACCTCTTCCATTAACACCTAGCCAACTCATAAAAATTAAATTTTTAAAAATAAATAAATAAAATTGGGGCACGGTGGCTTAGTGGTTAGCACGTTCGCCTCACACCTCCAGGGTCCGGGGTTCTATTCCCGCTGGGGCCATGTGTGTGCGGAGTTTGCATGTTCTCCCCGTGTTGCAGGGGTTTCCTCCGGTTACTCCAGTTCAAAAGACATGCATGGTAGGTTGATTGGCAGCTTGGTAAATTGTCCATAGTGTATGAATGGGTGTGTGAGTGTGTATGTGATTGTGCCCTGCGATGGACTGGCACCCTGTCCAGGGTGTACCCCGCCTTGTGCCTGATGCTTCCTGGGATAGGCTCCAGGTTCCCCGCGACCCTGAAGCAGGAATAAGCGGCTGAAGGTGGATGGATAAATAAAATTGCACTTACACCTTTACTCTGTGCACTTTGCTTCTTCTGGAACTCATTTGATGGATCTTGTATGGTAGCACTACTTGTATTCTTCTATGCTTGATATATGTCTTTGCTAGTATTTTTCATGTGTAAGTCGCTTTTGATAAAAGCATATGTTAAGTGAATAAATGTAAATGTAAAATGAAACAGCAGTAAAAGTAGGAAGTGTAACATCAAAGAAAAAAATATATTTCCATAAATACCTAAATAATAGGGAGAATCTATCATATCATATTTCCCATCCATCAAACACAGCCACCATGGACCGCAATTCCCAGAACACTCACTTTCATTCCAATCACACACACCTGCATCCAATCTCAGACACAATCACACCACATTTAAAAGAGACTGTTTGACTAGTCTTTGCCAAGGATTATGCGTGTACCTTTCAAAGGGAACTTCACATTGCGTTAGATCAAAACTAGGACACAAAACACGATGAACAACAGCTTGGAATATGGAAAACATCTGGGTTACGCATATAACCCTGTTCCCTGAGAAGAGAACGAGACGTTGTGTTAGTTGAACGCTTTGGGAAGTGCGATTGCGCGTGACCAGTATCTGCAGCTTGTGTAACATCATGCCTATTTATAGGCCTGCTGTGATCAGGTGATGTGTCAATTAAGTGCATCGCATGATATATAAACGACACCTGTGAACCGCACCATCAGTCTTATTGTCTTCAGTGAGACTGCATGTCGGTTGTTTGTGTAACAAAAACAAAAAGGCGCTTCATTTCCTTTTTTATCTTTTCTCAAAATATCTGGACTTTTCTATCCCATTAAAAAAAGAGATGAAAAAAAGACTGAGCAAGAGAGAAAAGTATGAGTGAGAGAATTCAGGAAGTGTGTTACACTTTGCTCCCGTTTCATCACGGTTGAGCAGTGCACACTTTCTGTGTGAATTGTTTAGGGTTGGAGCGCACCACGGCAGCCCACGAGAGGTCTGATTCTATGCATTGTAATGTCATACACAAGGCAAGTCCGCTCATAACTCACTCTCATATTGGAAGCCAAAGCTAGTTATATTTCAGATGCTCGCAGATCCAAGGCAGTTTGCCATCACAGGTATGAAGGATCTCATATGGAGACAAGTGCTGCTCTATCTCTTCCTCTGTCTTCAGTCCAGCTCTTCGCTGGATTTTGGAGCTTGCGTTGCGACTCCTCATTCCACTATGGAAAGCCAAAAAACACACACACAAATAATTTAAAAAATTATTCTTCTCTGACTCCGAGGAGCCAGAAGAGTGGGCTAAAAATTGAGAGCATATAAATTGAGAGCAAAAGCATATAAAGAGCTGTTTGAAGTGATTACTAAGGCTGGATTAGCTTTTTTCTCCCCAGTGAAATAAATCACTCACACTGCAGAAAACTCCCCTTTTTTCAGAAGTAATTTAGGGGGGCTGGCTTTGCCCTCCTAGCCGTTTAAGGTCAATGTGGCATTGGTAGGCAAGTCCTATGCAGTAGCGGGTCTTGCTTGTGGGTCATTGCAGACAATGGCAGTGTTGTAGGCCTACCAATCAGACCTGCTGACATTGAGCTCGACATTCAGCCAGTTCCTTCCTTATTATGTTCAGTTCACCCAGGCATCCACGAGTGGAGCCCGGCCCAGTGCTAGTGCGAGGGACGCCCAGGGCAGTCCGCCAACCCCTACAGTCAGCTAGGGGAACCAGGCGGCCAAAGTTGTGGCCTGCTACTAGGCCTGATCTGAGAATGGTCATAAAGGCCAAGCAGACAAAAGAGGAGAAATCCTGAGGGGCGGTGGAGGGACATATCAGGGGACATGAGGTTGTTAGAGCAATTACCCCCCAGTGCTACTGTAGGGCCTCCCCTAGCCAAGGCTGTCCCAAGTTTTCAGTGTTCTCTGGTCAGCAAGCTGTCACAGGGCAACGAAAATCTGATGCCAATAGAATGTGAAAAAGTTTATATCACTAAAAGACCATCTGGCAGTGTGGAAACTACTGCCAAATATGTCTCCATGGGTTCTGTCTACTGTAGAAAAGGTTTACTGGGTCCAGTTCAGAGCTCAACCCCCCCAATTGTGAGGTGTGCCCACCATAGTAGTCAGCACAGACCAGAGTCTGACATTAGAGCAGAAAGTAAGATCCCTATTGGACAAAAGGCCCATAGAACATGTACCCAGTTCCCTGAGGGAGGGAGGTTTTTACAGCCCTTATTTCCTGATCTGCAAAAATAGAGGAGTATGCGGCCAATTTTAGATCTGCATCATCTGAACTGTAATCTTCGCACATACAGGTTCAAGATACTGATGCCCAAACTTATCATTGAGGATTGGTTTGTGATGATAGATCTAAAAGGTGCATATTTCCACATAGAAATATCCCCCAGTCACAGGAAGTTCCTGGGGTTTTCGTTGGAGGCAATACATACCAAGATCGGGTTCTTCCCTTTGGGCTAGCTTTATCCCCTCGCACCATCACAAAGTGTATGGAAGTTATTCTGGCTGCATTGTGACTCCAGCGCATCCATGTACTAAACTACCTGGATGACCGATTAACTCTAGCACGATCCAGGGAGCTGGCGGATCAACATCGAGATCTTGTTCTTGCCCACATAAAGAGCTTGGGGCTCAGGTTGAACCTCAGAAATGTATGCTTTCTCCAGTACAGTGGACAACTTTTCTAGGGATTATAAGGATTCTACTATGATACGACTACGATGTGGACGTTTCTATCCCCAACATGTGTAGGGTCTATCCTATCAACATTGAGCAGGATAAAGTTGGCATCCCATCTTGGCATCCCATCCAGTCATCATATGGAGTGATGGAGTTTATGGCAGCAACCAACGACATACAATTGGGCCTATTCCACAGGAGACCGTTTCAGGGGTGACTGAGACGTTGGGAATTTCGTCCGAGGACATAACCTCTGAGAGTAATCAGTGTCACAGGTGCTCTGAGAATTTGGAAGTGTCCCCAGTCTCTAGCCTTGGGTCACATTCTAGGGGTGTCTCTTTAGCGCAAGACAGCAATGACAGACCCCTTCCTCACGGGCTGGGGCATGGACTTAGATGGCTCTCCAGCTCACAGTCTCTGGAGTGGCATATAAATTGCCTAGAAATCCGGGCCATATTTCTAGCATTGAAATTATTTCTTCTTCAATTACGAGGTCACCATGTATTTACAGACAACACAGCAGTGGTCTCATATATCGACCACCAGGAAGGATTAGGTTCACACCTCCTGTTCAGGCAGGCACAACTATTTCTTCTCTGGGCAGAGGGAAAGTTTTGTCAGTGAGTGCAATGTACATTCTGGGCAACTGGAATTTTGGGGCAGACATCCTGTTGAGGCAGGGGCTGAGGCCCAGGGATTGGTGCCTCCTTCCACAAGTGGTGGAATCCATATGGCAGAGGTTTGGCCAAGCGGGAGTGGATGTGTTCGCCTCCGAGGGGACAACACACTGCCTGCTGCGGTTTGCCCTCATTCCTCCCGCACCATTAGAACTGGACACCATGGTGCACATGTGGCCAAGGTCCCATCTATATGCTTTCCCCTGATCGCTCTGCTCCTTCAAGTTCTAGTGAGAATTCACTCGGTCAACGTCTGCTGCTAGTAGCACCTTATTGGCCAGCTGGAATATGTTTTCTCAGAGATAATATCTGCTCATTTGCAGGGATCTACTGTCCCAAGCAGGAGGGGTGATTTTTCACCCTCAGCCAGAACTATGGAAATTATGGGTCTGGCCCCTGAGGGGGACCATCTCATAGATTCTGGGTTCACAACTGAGGTTGTAGAGACCATGTGGAATGCTAGAATGCTATCCATGACAAAATTGTATGTGCTCAAGTGGCTATTTTTGTCTCATGGTGTGAGGAACGTCAGCTAGACCCTGTGAAATGCTCAATAGCTACAGTCCTGGAGTTCTTACAAGGACATTTCTCAACGACCACCATTTCAGCCACCCTATGGATGGATCCTCTGTGGGGCAACATCCTCTAACTTCTCAGGATATGTGGGGTGTCAGGCGGCTGAGGCACATCTGCAGACCACGCATACCTTCCTGGGACCTTTCTGTGCTCCTAGAAGGTCTGTCAGGTGCCACATTTGTGTTGGCCTTTGTGTCTTAGTGTCAGCCTCTCTGAAGCTTCTGACTCTAAAGGTATCTCTTCTGCTGGCCCTGACATCTTTCAAGTGAGTAGGAGATGCACAAGCTCTTTGTTGCACCTTCCTGCCTTGACTTTACCCCTGAATTAGCCAAGGCCTTCCTGTATCCTAGGCCGGATTAAATTCCTAAAATTCCTTCATCTGCTGCCCAGCCAGTAGTGTTAAACGCTTTCTGCCCTCCTCTGTTCCTCATACAGGAACAAGAGAAATTGCACCAACTGTGTCCAGTCAGGGTTCTCTGTACTTGCGCCCTCCACTCCGGACAGTGGCGTAAGTCAGAGCAGCTGCTGGTCAGCGACAGCAGAGGTGATGCTGTGTTGAAACTCTAATCTAAGAAATCAATAATTGAATAGTGGAAGCTATCTCTAGTGCTTATGAGGCACAGTGTCTTGCTAAGGCTTTGTCCAAAGGGGTATCCTTACAGGATGTGTGTGCTGTGGCAGGGTGGTCTACACCACACATTCGATTTTATAGCCTGGATATACATTCTGGCCCAGTCTCAAGTGTCTTGCAGTGATCCTCAGGCTCAGGTCTTTTTGAACACCCTGTACCCTCAGT